GGTGGGTGAAACGCATGGAAGAAGGAGGAAGGAGGGGAGGAGGGGGAGGAGCAGGGGAGGAGAAGAGGAACGCGGGGACCGTCTCTTCACAACGAGGACCCAACACCACAGGATGGCTGGGACAAATCATCATAAATAATCAAACGTCGGCCCCAGAGAAGGTTTTTTCTTATGCAAATTTGCTTGAAGATTCCCCCCTGTAAAGGGACAGGCCCGACTTAACCCTATCGGCGATCGGTTGGCGATTGAGGGTCGGTGCGTTCTCCCCTGTGGCCGGTGCCCCCCGCACGACTTTGACCCCGACCTGTCTCGCCAGCGCTGTTTGGGGAGGGGGGGAGGGGGGAGCGGACGCGGCAGCACGGTGACAAGCTCGGTGGCGCAGCCACTAAATTCGGTGATCTTCTGACCCGGGTCAATCCAGACCCGGGTCAGTCAAACCTGCAGGATCCTGCAAGCTCCTGCAAGATCCTGCACCCAATCCCGGGTCAATGCGAAGAATTCTGCAGGATCCTGCACCCAAACCCGGGTCAATGCGACCCTGGCCCTGCAGGATCCTGCAAGATCGGGCGCTCTGGCTGACCCCCGTTTGCATTGACCCCCGTCTCAAAGCTCCCGATAAATGACCAAGCGGCCCGGCTGCCTCGAACGCAGTGCACACGAGTGGAAGCAAGACGCCCAGCTGCGTCGACGCTGAGGGCCTGTCCTGCGAGCGATGGCCTGGACAAACGATTACTTCTCACCCGGGGTCACCTTGCAGAAGAGCCAACCGATAACAATCTTGTTTTAGACCATGATGATCGAAGCTTGCAGCTGGTGTATGAAAAAGGTGCGCGGCCGTCTGCATCGTCTGCCCGGCCATGCTCCGGTGCCTGAGTCCGATTCTGGTAGCCTGGCCCATGTGGTGTTTTCGTTTGTCTGGAAGCACACCGGACGATGTGAAGTCGCGTTTGTTGGGCAGTGTTTGGACGCTTTGGGCATCCCCACCAGCCCACCCAAAAAAATCAACCACCAAATGAGTTGCACTGACCAGGCATGCATGGCAGCATGCAGCCGCCCTCTGGGATCCTCTTGGAGGCATCTCGGGGTCATGGGGCCCTCCTGGGCCTATTTCGAAGCCAATTGGGCCTTCTTGGGGCCACCTTTGGGCCCTTTTGTGTCTTGTCTGAGGCCCTCTTGGGAGTCTTGACAAGACTCTTGAGGTGATATTGGAGGCCGTCGATCAACGAGGGGGGGGGGGGGGGGGGGCAATTACGCCTCATCCCCAGGGGCGGAATAACGGTCTCTTGGGGCCCTCTACGGGCGCTCTTGGGGCGTTTGGGGGCGGTTTCGGGGCCGTCTGGGGCCCCTCTTGGGGCTCGCTTAGGCCATCTCGGAACTGCCCATCGGAAGCGAGAGGCGAAATGATGTATCACAACATTGATTTGCGGATGGCATCTGAATGATTACGGTCTCTCAGGGGGGGGGGTACGTAGGAGGCTCCGTGGCCACCTGGATCCGTCTTTGGGTGATATCGGGGATTATTGGGGCCACATCGGAAACGGCATTAAAACATGTCGTGCTAATATTGAACGATCTTGGACGCCATCTTGGGATAGCTGGGGTCCGCTTTGGGCCTTTTTGGGACAATCTTGGACCCTACATCGACCCGCGGATCTCCCCTCCAGGCCCAGGGAGGAGGGGTATTGGGGAGAGGTATACCTCAGCCCAGAAGGAGGTTGCGATAACCACTCGCTAAGCCACCTACGGCCGAAAGGCTTGTGGGATTCAGTTGCCGTTCGTATTGTCATTCCTCGTCCGCCTCCTTATCCTTCCTCTCCTCCTCCATTGGCGTCTGAACCACGATGCCGCCAAACTCGCCCCTGGCGCCAGGGCGTGGAAGTTGCCGCGCGGGCGCCTGCGGCATCGGCTGCAAAATGCCGCATCGAGCGCCCTCGCCCTTGCTTCTTCCTTCCTGTTCTTCAGCCCCCATGCTCCCCAGGCCGGGTAACATCCGCCTCCGTGGGCACCGGGGCTGCTGCGGTGTGAAAACTTGGCTCCTTACGCAGGCGGTTGAGAACCTTAATATTAAGTCGGCCATGTCCCCCTACAGGCCCCTAAATGTTCGCCGCGCGCACACCGAATGCCGTGGCGCGGAGCCGGGTCTGGGCAGATGCGCCGACTCTTCGGTCCATTCTGGCCTCCCGAACCCCAGGTGTGAGGCGGGGAGGACAATGGGGGCTGAGGAACAGGATGAAGAAGCAAGGGCGAGGGCGCGCGAGGCGTGGTGCGGGCGGCATCTTCCACGCCACGACGCCAGGGGCGAGTTTGGCGGCATCGCGGCACCGACGCCAAAGGGGAACGAAAGGAGGAGAAGGAGGCAAACGAGGAAATACAATATCAAACCGGTACGCAGAATGGAACAGGAATCCGACCAGCCCTTTTAGCGTAGATGGTTCAGCGAATCATGTATTCCAACCTCTTTCTTTCCATGTGGGGGAAGCTTACTTGTTCCCCATTCGCTCTCTCCCTGGGTCTGGAGGGGGCCGTTCTGCGGGTCCTTGGAGGCTCCAAAGATGGCCCCCCATACGGCCCAAAGAAAGCCCCAGCTAACCTGAAATTGCCTCCAAGATCGCAACATAGCCCAAGAGTGTTCAAGATATCTTCCGACACGCCTCTAATAAGTTCCAAGACCGCCACAAGACGGTTCCGAGTGGCCACGGAGTCTCCCGGGAACACCCCCGGGAGGCCAGAATCTTTCAGAAACCAACAAACATAGATGTGTTGTTCTTTTCTCGCCTTTTCGCTTCCCATGGGCTCCCGAGGCCTCAGCATGGCTCCAAGATGGCCCAACCGACCCGAACAGGGGGCTCAAGAGAGACCCAAGACGGCCTCAAGAGCGCCGAAGAGAGCCGCAACAGGGTCCCAGAAATATTGCTTTGGCCCTCACCCCCACGTTTTCGATCGATTACCTCCAAGATGGCCCCAAGCATCCCTTCCAGACCCCCAAGAGAGCTCAGGGGAGCCCCAATAGGGCCCAGAGAGAACCCAGCAAGCCTTCAAAAGTTTCCCTAGGAGGGCCCGAGATGCCTCCTGGAGGCTCCTGGAGCGTGGCTGCATGCTGCTACGCATCCTGGGCCAGGGCAACTCCTCCAGTGATTGCTTTTGGATGGGCTGGCGGGAATACAGTGAAAACGTATAGTAAGGACGCGTGGTAAGGACGCAAGACCCTTGCAGGCCGAAGTTGGATTTTTGGAGCGGGGGGGGCCAGTGAAAACGGCGAGGGACTGGCCGCAGAGGCAAGGACGCAAGGGCATCCTAGAAGAAGGCGCGCGTCCTTACTAGGCGCGTTGACTGTAATTATACGCTGAGCGTCGCGAATAAGCACGATGGCTCGTGCCGCAAATTCTCCCTGAGAAAACATCGCCCCCCAATCCTCGCGAGGCGCTGCGTTGCACTCCCTCGGACTGGCATCAGACGCAGATGGCTTCGAGTGCGGGCGCGCAACCGCGGGTCGAAGTTCAAAATCAGAACCCGCGAGAAAAGCACACGACGGCACAATCCAACCACTTTTCGCTCTGCGAGTTTCCTTGGCTGATACCCTGCGGCGGCTGGCAGCACTCCGAGAGAAGCGCGGCCGCCAACCCCTGATCCTGCCGCTGACCTTCCTCTCCCTGCTGTTCTTGGAGGCCTGGGGATGGGCACCGACACCAACGCAGGGGGCTGCCCCCACAGGGGGGAGATGATCCTAGATCTCGGCGCTGGTGGCGATATTTCGGCCACCTTGGAAGCCAGGATATCACCACCAGATCACCGAGATCGGAATGTTCTTCTCTGGCCATCGCTCGGACGTCCATTCCCTGTGTTTTTTTTTCCGGTGTCGTGCGTGTTTTTCTTGTTCGCCAAATGATCAAGGATGCTCCTCGATGGCCCTCGCCGAGAAAAAATGCACACGTCCGAGCGATGCCAAGTGCACGGTTTCCCCCGGGGCCGTAGGCGACCCGAGGAGGAGGAGGAGGAGGAGGAGGCGGAGGAGGAGGTCGAGGAGGGGGAGGGGGAGGGGGAGGAGGAGGAGGAGGAGGAGGAGGAGAAGGAGGAGGAGGAGGAGGAGGAGGAGGAGGAGGAGGAGGAGGAGGAGGAGGAGGAGGGGTCGCCTACGCCCTTCGGAGACACCCTCCAATGCCAAGTCCTTTCGGTGGAGGCACACCGCCGACATCGGTGTCGGTGTCCACCTCTAGGCCTGCGATGCTCGGGCCGGGCCTCCCGCGGCCGTGCGGGACACTTCTGGCACCCTCCGCGCGCGCGCGACGAGGCGCAGCTGGCAGGAGCCACCCCCAAGCTCCGGAGACATCCGAAAAGTCCTGCACAGCTAAGGTCATGTCGGGCCTGTCCCCCTGCAGGGGGATGTTCGACGAAGAATGCAAAATGCCCCGCAAATGCTCGAAAAAGGTCAAACAACTAGAAACATACTCCCCAGACTATGTTTGGACTGTCTTTCGACTATTGTTGGGGCATTTTTTATTTTTCGTCGAAACTCCCCCTGTAGGGGGACAGGCCCGACATAAAGCGAAGGGAACAGAAGCCCTGAGCCGAAAGCAAACACGTGGATTGAGGACGGGTGGGAAGGACGCAAGGGCCTCAGAGGCCGAAGTTTGATTTCTGGGGCGGCGGGCGAGAAGTGAAAACGGCAAATGACGGGCCGCAGAGGCAAGGACACAAGGGTACCCTAGGTGAAGGCGCGCGTCCTTACTAGGCGGGTTCACTGTAGGAGAAAAAAAGCCCTGAGCCTATTCCCACACTCCCTTGCCCTTGCCCCTGACCTCTCACAGTCTGGCAGTCTCGTGTCGTCCTGCAGGCCATTACATGGCCCTCTAACCCAGCAGTCTTGGCCAGCTTTGGACGCCCCGGTCCAGACGGCAGGGTGGAGGGGACGCCTCCCCCGAGGGGATCGAGAATGGGGTGGCTTTGGAAGCGCTGCCCTGGCCTCGTGCGGCCGCCGATCCCTCCCGCGCGGCCGCAAGAGCCTTGTCCTCGGCGAGGAGCGACGCGGAGTCCTCCGCGAGGCGCGGCGGCGGCGGGCGGCGGGCGGCGGGCGGCGGGCCGCGCGGGCGCGCGGGCGGGGGGAGGGCGTCGGCGGAGACCTCTCCGTTCCTGCTGCTGTCGCTGGCGATGGCGTTCCCGGGGATGGGTTCCCGAGCCTCGGTCGAGGAGTCGTCGGTTGATCGATCGAGGCTCGAGGATCGGTCGAGGAGCAGACGACTGATCGAGGGGAAGGAGATGGATTCATCGCTCGACGATCGAAGATACGATCGATCGAGGCACGATCGATTCAGAATCGATCGTCCGTCGATCATTCCTCGATCGACCGTCTCCTCCTCCTGCTGCTGGTCTCCCTGGCGCTGACGCCGGCGCTCCTCCTGGCGCTGACGCCGATGCCGATGCTGCTGCTGCTGCTGCTGCTGCTGCTGCTGTTGCCACCTACGATATATCTACGGCAAGCCCGCGTCGCGACAGCGTCGGCTTGGGACTTCGTCACTGCGTGGACTCGGTCAATAGAAGCCTCCTAGATGGGGTCGGAGTAGATGGGGTCGGAGGATCGCGCCGAATCGCCGACACATCGGCGATACATCGTCGATGCATCGGCGATGCATCGGCGATGCATCGGCGATGCATCGTCGACGTCGGCGATGCATCGGCGACGTCGACGTGACGCAAATCGGGCTGCACATCGAACCGCATCGGCGATGCATCGGCGATGCGGCGCGATCCTCCGACCCCATCTACTCCGACCCCATCTAGGAGGCCTAGAGTCAATCTTGGACGATCCCGGCCTTCCGATAGCGCGGAGCATTCGATATCCTCCGATGCCGGTCGGGCTCGGGCCGCCGGCGGCGTTCAACCCGAGGCCGACGCTGGAGCTCCTCCTCACCCTGCTGCTGCTGCTGACGCTGCCGTTGGCGCTCCTCCTCCTCCTCCTCCTCCTCCCCCTCCTCCTCCTCCTCGTCCTCCTCCTCCTCCTCCTCCTCCTCCTCCTCCTAGCGGTCGCAGGTTCAGACCTAGGAGTTCAAGGCCTCCGGGGGAGGCCGCAGGTGCATCGGCTTGCGAGCGCTGGGGAGGACGAGTCGCACGCAGATTCGAGACGCTGGGAAACCATCCTCCTCCTGACGCTGACGCTGGCACTTCCCCTCCTGCGGCTCCTTCAGTCGCTGGCGGTGGCCGGCCGCGAAGCCTCTCTCGGGGGCGCGCAGACATGGATTAGCGAGCCGTGGATTTGGCGCGCGGTCGCCGAATCCATGGATCTGCACCTCCCCAAAATACTCGCCATCGCTCGGACGTCCATTCCCTGTGTTTTTTTCGGTTTTGTGCGTGGTTTTTTCGCCAAATGGTCAAGGATGCTCCTCGATGGTCCTCGCCGAGAAAAAATGCACACGTCCGAGCGATGCCCCGAAAATGCGGCCAGTAGAGGCCTCCTAGATGGGGTCGGAGTATATGGGGTCGAAAGATCGCGCCGTATCGGCGATACATCGGCGATTCATCGGCGATGCATCGGCGATGCATCGGCGATGCACTGGCGATGCATCGTCGACGTCGGCGAAGCATTGGCGACGTCGATCTGAAGCAAATCGGGCCCTACATCGAGCCGCATCGGCGATACATTGGCGATGCGGCGCGATCCTCCGACCCCATCTACTCCAACCCCATCTAGGAGGCCTAGCGCCAGTGCCGCCTCCTTCGGCGGCGGAAATCAGCGATTTCCCATGGAAACGGGACCCGTCGCTGATCCACGCCCCCTTGATCCGTGTTTGCGATCGGATGGCTTTCGGCTGTGCCGCGAGAGCCTCCACGACCACCACGACGACACGACGACGACGCCGACTGCGACGACCTCCCGATGTCTCCCTGGGGTACCTGGAGACCCCGCAGACCTCCAGAGGCCCGCAAGAGGCCAGACACTCAAGAATCGATGCTCCCCCCGTCGCTCCCCCCCCTGCAGAAGAGCCAGGACAAGGATCACATCGGGCAATAGAGAAATCGGGCATCTCTCGGGGATGGACAGACCTCCCTTTAGTAAAACGTGGTTTAGTGAAAACTACTTCGGGCCCAAACCTGGCGGGCGCAAGCCTGGAAAACAACGGCCGCGGCGCCCTCTCGAAAACCGAAAACGGACAATTCACTATTCGACGTGTCACTGTTGGGGGTTCTGTCCACCCGCGAATCTCGGAGATCCGGCGGTTCTGCATGACGCATCGGGCGCCCGGGCCTTCTCCGAGCGTTCCGGAACGCTCGGAGGGTGTTCTGGAACGCCCTGGAACGGATGCATAGTTTTCCCAACCCCGCCCGGCCCCTCTTGGCGGCGAGCAGAGGGGGGTAGGGGGAGGGGGGAAGGCTTCTTAGAAGGAGGCTGCTTCTTAGAAGGCGCCGGCCTTGCATCTACAGAGAAGGCCCGCACCTTCTAAGAAGCAGGGGTGCTTCTAAGAAGCCTTCCCCCCTCCCCCCACCCCCCTCTGCGCGCTGCCAGCGCACTTCCTTCCCCGATGGGGAAACGACAGGGTCTGATCTTCCTTTGTGACCGTGTGCCGGTCTCAAGGCCCGTACGACAGGTCCGTGTCGTGCCGCCTTCGGCGTTGGTTTCGGACACCGCGGGGATCGCTCCACCTCGAACGATCCGCTGCTTCCGACACGTCAGGTCATTCAACATCAGCCGATTCTGGGTCGCCAGCGGCGTTCAGTGTTGAACGCCGGCGGCAGGGTCGCCGCGGGCCGACTCGACGCGTATAGCGAAGGCGGCACATGTGCGCCCACCGCCCGGAGAATAAATAAGCGCACCGAGCAGAGCCTTTTTTTTAGACTCTGGCAAATTTACTTGCATGGACGGGTGGGGGAGGGGGGCTGAGCCTGAAGCAAGCCCGGGGGGGGGAGCGCGGAAATCACGCAAGTCGAAAGGCACTTGCACGCTAGTATTCGCTTGAAGAGGAGAAAGGGGGGGGGGGGGGGGGCGATCGCCATGCAAGTAAACTTGCCTGAATCCAAAAAAACAGGCTCGCACGCATGGCGCGAAGCCGATAGCACAGCAACTCCGGCGGGTGGTCCGCCGGCCCCCTCGTGGGGCGGGGCCACCAGACTGTAGGACTATGGGTCGCTGCTCCCTGCGCCAGTCGCAGTTTCAAGTCTCGAGTGTTGCAGTCCTGCTCTGTGCTTCCTATTGTGGATTGGTTAAGTCCGCGCGAGGGGGGTGAGCTCCAAACCGCCCAATTTACCACGCCCGAATCGCGTGCTCTGACTTCCCGGGGGGCGTGGGACACGTAAATATACTTGAGAGGACACGTAAAAATACTTGAGAGTCCCGTCCCCGAGGTCATAATCCTTGGTAAATGCCACGATGTTCGCGCCTCCGAGGCCACACACCTCTCTGAACTATGCAATTGATCCATTTCCGAGGCAAACATCTCCGTACATTACACCATACTCGCGTCCCCGAAGCAACACACCCGCGTAAGTTATCCAACATTCGCGTCTCCGACGCCATAAGCCGTTGCAGATTATGCTGGATTCGCATTGCCGAGGCCAAGAGTGCTCCAAGGCGCCCGAAGATGGTTCCAAGACAGCCCAAAGAGGTCCCAAGAGCGCTCCAAGAAGCCTCCCAAGAGGCCCAAATCGTAGATGATACAAAAAGTTTGAAGGATGTTGGCCTTCTCGCATGTTCGGCTTTCCGACGCTCCAAGACGGCTCAAGAAGCTCCCAAGACTGCCCCAAGACAGCCTCAGACGCCTCCAAGAGGGCCCCAAGACAGCCCAAGGAGGCTCCAAGATGGCCCAAAAAGAGGACCCCAAGGAACGCTCAAGAAGGCCCAAAAAGGGCTTCAAGACAGCCCCAAGAGGGGCCCTAGCAGGGGACCACGAACCGAACATTCGATGTATCTGCCCCGAGAAGCCCCCAGGAGGCCCCAAGAGGCCGACAAGAGGCCCCAAGAGGCCACCAAGACGCACCCAAGAGGCACTCAAGAGGTCCAAAAAATATCACACGAGGCCGAGGCCCCCAAGAGGCACCCATACCGCCTCCAAGAGGCCCCTAAGAGGCTTCCCACGACACCCCAACAAATATACAAGTGGCCTCAGACCCACACCCCAGGCACGGTGGCGGGACGGGCCGAAGGCCACTAGGTCCGCCGCCCCCTGTTGATTCATCACAGGGGTGCCTGGCGTGCTGAACCCTCTAGGTTTTGGTTTTGGTTCTTTTTCCAAAAGAACTCCCCCTGGGGCTTCGGCCCGTCTCGCCGGCCACCCAGACGCTCAATTCCCCAATCTCGTCGGCTTTTTCGCTCAAGATGGCCGAAGATGGCCTCCAAGATGCCTCCAAGACGGCCATGATGGCCTCCAAGGCGGCTAAGATGGCCCCAAGATGCCTCCAAGACGGCCCAAGATGCACCCAAGACCGCCTGAAATGGCCTCAAGATGGCCCAAAACGGCCCAAGAGGCTCCCAAGAGGCCTCCAAGACGGTCAAAGAGGCCTCCAAGAGGTCCTCCAGGAAGGCCCGAAGAGGCCAAAATCAGTTATGTTCCTAGGGTTTTGAAGAATTCTGGCATTTGCGCATTTTCGGCTTTCCGACGGCCCAAGACGGCCCAAGAGGCCCCCAAGATCGCCCAAGAGGCCTCGAAGATGGCCCCATGGCGGCCCAAGAGGCTCCCACGACGGCCCCAAGAGGGCCCGAAGACGGCCCAAGAGGCCTCCAAGATGCCCACGATGGCCTCCAAGACGGCGAAGATGGCCTCCAAGACGGCCCCGAAGCGCCCCAAGAGGGCCCCAAGTCGGCCCAGAAAGGCCCCCAAGACGGCTACCGACGGCGTCAGACGTGCCAGGAACCCACCAAGATGGCCGAAGTTGGCTCGAAGCTTGCCCAAGACGGCCCAAGAGACCCCCAAGAGGGCCTCCAGGAAGGCCAGACGAGGCCATAAACATTGTTTGTTTTCCGAAGGTGTTGACGGATTTTGACATTTGCTTCTTTTCGGCCTTCCGACGGCCGAGACGGCCCAAGAGCCCCCAAAGATCGCCCAAT